TCCGTGTCCCTGCCCGTGTCCGTGTCCCTGTCCCTGCCCGTGTCCCTGCCCGTGTCCGTGTCCCTGCCCGTGTCCGTGTCCCTGTCCCTGCCCGTATCCCTGGCCGTGTCCCTGTCCCTGCCCGTGTCCCTGTCCCTGCCTGTGTCCCTGCCCATGTCCCTGTCCCTGCCCGTATCCCTGCCTGTGTCCCTGCCCGTGTCCCTGTCCCTGCCTGCATCCCTGCCCCTGGCCGTGTCCCTGGCCGTGTCCCTGTCCCTGCCCCTGTCCTGCTCCTGCCCCTGTCTCGCACCTGCCCTTGCTTACCACAAACGGCCCCATTCCCACCTGGGAATTTTTCGTTACTTCCAAAGCATAACTATTAAATCACGTCTTAAAAATAAGGCAAAAAGGGGGGCAAATGCATTTTTTTTTCCTCCCAATGCATATACTGTCATAAACAGGAAAGGTGATGTATTTGTCTGGTCCTCTTAACAGGAAAGAGGACGCTGGCGTAGAATTGTCACAATGATGGCTGCATATGAAAAAAAAGTTGCAATGACTAATTTATTAACCTAGTGTTGGTATTAGATCCATTTCTTATGTACAGCTCCAGGCTAAGTTCTGCCAAAAAGAGATACCARCTTCCTCTCTGTTTGAAGACACACATAAATCAAAGAGGTGATAGAAAAATGCTTAAAATTCTGGATTAAAAATACTGCCTGATTATAACGAAGTCTCCAAGCCCTGGAAGACATCTTCCCGAGGCAAAGAAGGAGAGGAAGTATCCAGGACTTTCCCCTCCTGCTCTGAGACTGTTCCTATGGAAAAAGGCAAACTGCAGATCCCATATGTAAGGCACAGCTCTGAGTGGCAAGCAGGCCGTCTGGGAATGCCGGCTGCTGCGGCAGTGCCACGCGAGCCGTGGAAATTTCCCGTGCGCACGCGTGAGGCGGCTGCGGCCGCCGAAGCGCCGGGAAAGCCGCGCGGCAGCACGGCCATTGCCATAGTAACTCCGCAAGAGAGGGGAGGATGGTTCGGTTGTCGGCGCCTGCTTCATCTTGGCCCATTTTAGAGCTCAAATTTTTACCTTGCTAAGAAACAAGTCTTCAGGCTGCCAGGAGATTCATACAGAGATGACATTCCCTTTTATCTCCTGTCATATTTTTTCATAGAGATTTCTAGGCCTATGTWAAAATCATAAAAAAATCATTAACTCTCAAGCAAAGACTTTTTTTTCCCCCTAATAGTGCATGTATACCAAATAAATCATCGAGGAATTTGGTCACTTTTACCTTATTAAAGTACTTTTACTGTGCACTGATTATCASTGTTGGGAGGAACATATTCTTGCAATGACCATAAGGCAGCATGCTTTTTCTCCTCAGTGTTTTACAAAACATAACTATATTGCTACATTGCATTTAAAACTTATTTTCACAATCACCATGTAACTGACTAAAACTATATTCACAGGGGAAAGAAAAAAATGCTGTAGGTTTACTCAGAAAGCCAGACCTCAGAAGACCTATAGAACACAGAATCTTTTTACTTTTGCTCTTGCTCCCCAGTAAAAAATAACAGCTACRCAGGAAGTTGCAGTGGCCTGCAATTCTGGAGAAGCGCCTGAACTCCAAAACTTGCCAGGAAAAGCTGGGCTCCAAGCCAGGGTTTTTGGTTGGACCTTATGCTTTCCTGAAAGGGGAGCAAGGTAGATGAAAAAGTTTTGTATTTTCTGTTTTTCTACTAGTGCTGGCACTCAGATGGAGTCTTTTTCAAGTAAAAGCTTGCAAGGGAAGGACAYGGTATATTATGACAGATGATAAAGAACTTTTTCCTTCCCCCTGTTGCCTGTGTTGCAGCCCTGCTSCTGCTCTCTCTACCTTTTAAGTGGAAGGGAGAATGTGCTTCCAATTCAGCAGCGTTTTATTAGCTACCAATTGTCTGTGTCCTTTAGCCAAGGGACTTGGTGCATGACTGCTTCTGCATATAAACTGCTAAGAGAAAACTTCACCTGGTGTTTCTACAAAGCTCTCCATAAACCTGCTTTTGTAAGATTATCTGTTTCATCAGGTGGTATGTTGATTTTAGGCAGTGAATGCTGCTCTTCAGTTTTCCCTTGAGCTTTCAGAATAACAGCAACAGAGAAGTCAGCCCATTTTCAGTGTCCTGAGTACCCAAGAGTTTTTTCATGCTGCCATTAGAAAGCAGGTGTCAGCGGAAAGCATGTCTATGGTGCAGTCTTGTATGCTGATTTTCCTGATCCTGACAATTTTCATTCATTCCTGTCCAGTGGTCCAGTTTCAGCAAGAAAGCTTCCACTCTTAGCTCATTTTACTCTTTATCTGTCCCTCATGTAATGAACAAATTAGGATTTCTAGGGCCTCAGAATTTCAGAGATCTCGGTGTCCCCAGACCCCGAGATGGTGAAAGGAACCTATACTTTTTGTTCTTGAATCACATCTTCCTATGAGTTCAAAAGAGATGCTGAATGTGGCATACAGAACTGGCCCCTATAATCCTAGCATCACACGATTTAATTCACGCAGGCAGATAGCTGATGGTGCTTGCTTCTCTGTTCTCTATAGTATCTCTATAGCATCTCTGCTTTGCCAGCTGAGGCCTATGATGCTTTGACATTTTTTYCCCACTTGATAATGATGCTAAATGATGCTAGGTTTGCAGAGCTTGAGAGTAGGTAAGTAGTGGAAAGAGTGCATAAGGCTGGGGAAACACTGCAGACTGTGTATATTAAAAATAATTGAGCCTGGTGCTCTTATTCAAACATTTACCATCTAACTAATCTATTAATATGTTGGCGAGAACAAAAAACACTGAAAAACATTGCCAGATATACAGAATTGTTCATTTTAATCATATATATTAGTAGGTTAGCAGAGAATAGGACATATAGAGATATAGTGAATAAATTCTAACTTGGAGAATTAGGAGATTCTAAATAAACCTGTAGTTGGAATCAGATCTTTTTTTGAAAAGAGAATATAGATGGAAAGTCAGTATTAAGCAGTCAGGTAAATACAAAAGATAATGTGAAAAAAGCAAAAAGCTGAGCAAAATATTCAGTGAATAGCGCTTATATACATATATTTAATATGTATGAATGCTATTTTTACATTTTCTCTTTTGATGGGAAAAGAGTGAACACTCTTGCTGCTTTAGAAATAACGGATGAAATAGAATTAAAATCTGAATGTCTCTCCTTTCTGACTGGCCTTAGTTCAAACCAGTTCAAATTCCCCAAGCTGAGTAACGTCCTCTAGTTTGATTATTAGATGTGTTGACCCTGTTTTTCATTCACTTGGAGAGATTTCACTTCTTCTCAAATAGTAAAAAGAGGACCCAAGAGAACACCAGCTGYGGCTAACCATTTTCATATCAATAGTTTATACCTAATGGTCTTTGGAGAATTACCTGAAGAATTCTCTCATTGTCTTGAAGAAATATAGGAAATTCAGAGAAAGATAAGAAAACCACAAATATTGCTGTAATTTATAGTACAAGGCAAAGAGAAGCATAGCTTCATGTCAGTCCTGGGCAAAAGAAGAGAATAAGCAGCATGGGACTCTGGTAAAACAAATTAGAAGTTAAAAGTATGATTAATAGCCCATGGAATATCTTTATACGGATTATGTCTTGTCAGAAAAACTCATTAGATAGAGCAAAGAGTTTACAGATAGAGAAAAACATCTGGGGAAAAAAAAAAGAAGGACTCTGCCAATAAAATAGGAAACTGTTCTGGAAAGCAGTTATGAGAAAAGCACTTCAGAGCCATAATGGTTATATATCATAATGTGAATTCTTAAATCACAGATGTGGTTAAAAGTAACTAATGCCTAAGGAACGGAGTATTTAGCTGAAAGAGGGGAGCAATTTTGTGTGTACACAGTGTTAAGACACCTGCTGGAACCGTGTGCTCAGTTCTAGTGGTGAGTTCAACAGGAATGTTATTTTTCTTGAAGATCCAACTTCTGATAAATTTTATGATCTATTTATGTTGGACAGATCTGTGTTGTATTACTCAATGAAACACAAGCCAGAAAGCAACCTGAAGTACTACAGGCTTGCAAATGTTTGTGTAGCAATCTATAGAGCTTCCTGGGATAGACCTAGGTCAAATGCCTGGCTTGAGGCGTCTGAAGACACTGCATGAAATTATGTAACCTCTAGGGACAGAGTCATGGCAAGCAGGCGCATCGACGTCTGTGTCCACAGTAAGGAAGGAGCTATGGAAAAGTTGCTGTGCTTAGTGGCTGCTTGTGCTCTGTTCCCAAGCTCTGCTCAAACTCATGACTAAGTTCTGTACTCARACAGATTGGGAAATATAGGAAATTTGGACTGAAGTGTAGTCTTTGTTCTTAAAATACTATGTTATGTTACAAAATGCCCTTAAAAAACAAAAACAAAAAAAAAACTACTGG